CATTTGGAAGATGCCACGATAGTTCGGTGTACAGCACTTTCTTCAGACCTAAAATATTCAGAATTCATACTATAATAAAATAATATGATAAAATAATAATGAAATTCGGAAGGAATTTTTTTTCGATTTTTTGGCCTGTTTCTCTGGAATATTCGGAGTTCCGTCAACTTTCGAATTCTTTTGGAATCAAATTTTTAGGGCTTCTTCGCCTAACCACGCATTTTGTGCGACGGGTGTAGCACGGTGTCTGTAGGGAAGGACACTAATTATTTCCTCACGGTATCCTTCCAACAACTGAAGCTATCCAGCTCGGATAAGTCGTTTAACCCATGCATCCAAATTATTCAATCTTACTCATTTGGACGGACTCGCCTGCCTTACTCAAAGAAATCTTGAAACACTTCCCGGGCCTGAACTCAGCAAATATCGCGACCGAATTTAGAGGCTAACCCTCGAATTTTTTGGAAATAAGGCTGAGGAATTGATGAGGAAACGTTTTACAGAATCTAAGGTTCTTCGGAATTATATTCTTCCATTGTTTTGATTACCGAATATGTACTTCAAGCCGTTTCGAGAATTCACGGGGAAACCGCGGTCTGCTATGAAATTCTGTCCCAGAGGAACGACTCTGTAAAAATTAGGGATCTTATCTCAAATTAGGGACTAGGGACGTAAACTGTCACCCCAGAGTCAAACCTAGCTTCGGTATATTTTCAAAATTTCAATGATCCCCTCTTTTATAATAAGACCGCCTCAGGGAAACCAATGTGCATGTAGACGTTTAATGTCTGAGAAAAATTATCTTCAATTTCTCGAACAGCAAAGGAAAGCAAAGACCCCTCCCCGGTTATTGCGCTTGTGTCAACTGAGGTTTACCCTGCCTTCCATTCGAAATTCCTACTCTTTGCTACACCACTCCTTACTAATGGTAAATACCATATGCACCATCAAGTCTTTCCAAGTGATCTCTTTACCTCTGAAATCCACTTGGCTGGATTAGTTCTCCTTAACGATTGACCGTACCACAACCCTAAATCCCATTCTTGACTACAGTAAGTCCTGGTTCAAAGCTTCCACGAGATGTCGTTCAACAAAATCCAAAATTGTTTTCATTTCTAAGCATTTCACAACCTGATGATAATACAAGATACGTGAAATTTACACGAGTCAAATTCATTCAATCCTATACATAAATAACTCGTTAATTACAAAAGTGTACATGGCAGTTAAATCTGCTTAGGATTGCATGGCTTCGGCGCCCTCGTGCATCTTCTTGCCCATATAGTCTCGGGCGTCGTTAGCCTGAAAAATCATGATTTTTACATAAATCTAGACGTGATAACTTGCTTTTTTATGAAAGATTATTGCGAGGTAATATTTCCATCACCTATTACTAATTTGTCAGGAACGAACCTTATCTTTTGCCGCTTCCTTGCCCTCGTGGAGCTTATCCTTTGCAGCCTCGGCCTTATCCTTTGCCGCCTCTTTGCCCTCATGGAGCTTATCCTTTTGCAGCCTCTTTGCCCTCGCAGCCTTATCCTTTGCAGCCTCTTTGCCGTCGTGAGCCTTATCCTTTGCAGCCTCTTTGCCGTCGTGAGCCTTATCCTTTGCTGCCTCTTTGCCCTCGTGGAGCTTATCTTTTGCGGACTCTTTACCCTCGCAGGCCTTATCCTTTGCAGACTCGTAATTGTTTTTTGCAGCCCGTTTGCC